TGGTTCGTTGATGTGATGACAGGTATGTGTTGTGAAGCAGATTCTGGATTTGGTTGCCTACGATCACACATATACGTATTATTGTGAGAAACCGCAGTGAGACCACGAAAAGTGATCGTCACATACTAAACCCTTATATATGTATACATGGGTATACTTGGGATGAATGTTTGCATAGATTGAAGAGCTCCACATTAGAGCCCTACTCAGAAGCTGAGACTGAGGGACTTAGGGGAGGTCTCTCCTTTTATTCTTGTCTCTTGCTTTTTGATGATTTTCTTAGTCGGACATTTGGTCCTGGGCCGGGATTCGAGGTCCTTGTCGAGGACATCCCAAGCCCTAGGCTCTGCAGGGGAGGGTTTTTTCCCTCGCGAAGAGCCTATTTGATTTGGCTACCGTGACACTCAGGTCGAGAGCCTGAGGTGCCTTGGCGGCTGCACGACTATTCCTTCAGCCGTGCAATGTCGTGAAATGTTAGGCCCTCACGACACTTCAAGTCTGACACTTGAGTGTCATAAGCGGTACTCGAATCCACGAGGGACCGCTTGATTATGGGCACTACATAGTACGCCATTGATGCGACTGATTGTGTACGCCTGCATTGCAAGTCGATATGAGTATGCCCTGCGTCCGCGTGGTTTTATACCAAGTTCAGCGCGCGACGCCTATCCGATTTCCGCACTGGAAAGTTATGGGTCGGCTATCGAGGGGCTAGGAGCGTTGTCGCGTTGTTGGTACTGTGTCGTTTCGTATATATGTTGTTTTGTGTGTATGAGTGTTCGTAAAGTGGAGTGCGCGTGGTGTGTGGGATGCGTCCTAGTCGACCGACGATGAGTCGCGCTTGGGACCTCGGCCCCCCCAAGATGTCCGTTCGAGTGCGGGTCCGATAGAGGCGTATTACCGCGCGTACCCCCTATGCTACAGCGAACGAGAAACGCCCTCGGCTGGTCCACCTCTGCGATTGCAACTGATTAGCTTTCGTACTGTGGACTGGTAGCTCGGCGGGGATACGYCCACCGAAGGGAGGTGACARCTCYCRTAAGGTRTAGGTAAGTCGTGCCTCGCGTAGGCCCTATCCTRTCGTAGGGGCTCGCGAGAGGTATGGCTGGCGCACCCGGCCGGAGCGGCTTGCGGAAGCTCCATGTATATTGCGACGAAGGGTTATGAAAACCAACTCTTGCGTGACGCGGCCGAGAGGGTCCCGCGCTGCCCCCGTGCGGTGCCGGACCGATGCGCCCGACAGCGGCTCCAATACTCCTACGTCGTCGCCGACCACCCTTGATCCCTGAATCTCCTGAATGAAAGTCCGACACCGTACCTAATAGTGTTAGGCCCAAGGCTGAGCTTACCATTAGTGACAAACTATATAAGTGAGAGCCACGTGGCGCACAGGTCTACCGAAATGTACCAGACTCATACCTTGGCTTGTCCACTAAGTTCCCGTCCGTCAAGCCCTATGCCTACCGTGCATCTATTCCCTCGCCTGTTAAGACCATTATTCAATGCCGCATTGCCACCGATGACGCCCTCCGCACAAACGCACATGTCGTGGTCAAGCGTTCCAGTAAAATGACGAAATTTTTTAAGCCTAAGTTAAATAAATAATTGGGTCGGCAAACCACGCCGGCTTGACAATCATCAACGGGAAAGAAATCACGCACACCTTAAAATTGTGTGCCCACACACTCTCTATTCTCAATCAACTACTCAGTGAGCGTAGTTGAAACACAACCGTGACTCGTGCGGAGTAGCCAAATTTTAAACCAAACTTATCTTTCTGTCACTTGCAAAAACTAGGGCGGACACCCGTGTAAGGATGTTCACACCGACATGATCACGCTTCGAAACGATACTTAGTACGAATTTACAAAACACATTCATGATGTAATTGCACAAATCAGATAGAGAGGACTACACCAGTTCTCTTACATTAATCCACGAAATGATGACAATCATCATCTATGACATACCATTCTTGCATCGCCGGTACACCACATTGTTCTAATGACTCTTGACCATCGACCGCTAATCTGATCACATCTCCAATTACACACTACTAACCTTCATACCCTATAATTTCCATAATAACGCAAAAAGCAACACACCAATAAACCTTACAAGAGATAGGTCACTGGTCCAGAAGTGCACTTCCACCACTACCTCCTGCAGGTTGACAATTCGAACTGAACCTGCGACCTGTCGAATGCCGCTTCTTTGCTGGACCGACTGCGCTATGCCAACGCAGTGTCGCAGGTACCCCACCGGGATTGAACCCCTAACCTCTTGAACACTGCTTATACGCCTGACGAATTGAGTCACGCCGCCTGCTCAAGCGGCCTTCTTTGGAAACACCAACTTTTTTTTTTTTTTTTTTTTTTTTAATTTTAAACAAAGCACCGTTGGGCAAGACCTCTATCCCGGTGGTGGTAAGAGAATTATTGGAATTGAGGCTTTGTCAGTCGGGCTGCTCCATCTATTGGTGGGGAGCATCACCTGCTGGAAACCGGGTTCAACGTCCCTTTGATACATCATCTCAACAGTATCATTGTTGAAACTGTGACCTTATCATTTCCTAGCCTAGAGGACTGATGTTTTATCGGGACTGCATCAATCACCCTTCCGACTTATAAAACTCCTTCTCGCTGCTGACCCTGTCCCTCCTTGAAAATTGCCAACAGAATCCTCTTTTCTGTACCCCTTCAATTTGTCAGTCGTGGTTCAATCCTAGGTGTTTACACCCCCCCCATGCCTGTTTCACACTGTCATTATGTTGGTGTAAGTTGTAAGTGTGTCCGGGAACACACGATATAGGTGTTCATGTCCCTTTGTGTAATTTTCCGTTCTGGTGATTGTTTACTACGGCTCATCAACCAATCCGTCTTTGTCTATACCAGTGTCGGTTGGCCCCCTGCTGGGCTCCCATGTCACTTTGCATTTTTTCGTCGGTTCTTTCGATTGAGGATTCAATGGGTTCTACTCCCACCCTTGTAGCATATGGGGTTGCTGCAGGACAATGTCTTCTTCTGCCCATGTCTTGATTGCAACAACTGAATCGCATGAGGATCGAGGGTAGGAACAGGGCAAGGGGAAGGGGGTGAGAGGGGGGGGCATTCTTCCAGGAGGGGAGGATTGGTGATGGGACGGGGGCATGACGAGGTGGGAGGAGGGGAGGACAGTGTTAAGGGAGAGTATTCTTCCAGAAGGGGAGAGTCCATTGGGGGGAAAGGGAGTTGGGGCGGGATATCTTCCGGGAGCGGTGGAGGTGTTGGGCTTGCCAGTTGTGGGCGGGGGAGGTCTGAGGGGGATATGGGGTCGCTGGTGGGATACCTTCTGGCAGCGTGTCGGTTGGCAGGAGAGTGGAATTGATGGGGGTAGGGGGGTAGGGGGGAGGGTGGGTAGGTGGATGGGATTCATTTGGGAGCGGAGGATGTGGAGGATGCGGGGGATGCGGGGGATGCGGGGGATGCGGGGGATGCGGGGGATGCAGGGACGGTCGGGGACTTCGGGGCGTAATCGGAAGTTGTGGGTTTGTGTTTGTGTTTGTGTTTTGTGTATGATTTGAATTGTGTTGTTGGAAGTCTGTTGGGTTGCAGTTGCACAGGCTGAAGACGGGGGTCACCATCACGGGCTGGTCCGGTGGATGTCGGTTGAACGAGGGCAGTGCCTTTCACTGCCAGCCTCGTTCGTTTGTCCACCATGGCTTCCACTGCATGTTATGGTCCCCCCTGCAAAGACCCAATTTTTTTGGCTGGGTCGAGGTAACCGAAGCTGGTCTCCTGTCTTTCATGGGAACAACGTGCCCGCCTGATAGTCATAAGTACCTCGAGTCTTATGTCGTTGAAGAGGGTCGACTGAAAGGTAGTCAATGTGGTTTGGGTCAGCGATGGTTGGTCCTGCAATAGCACAACCGCGTTTCATGGGAGATCAACTCCTGTGAGGCTCTTCCACGCTGCCGCCCACCATCGCCAGATCTGTTTTGCCATAGGGCAATCTAAAAGGCAATGTTTCAGGTATGCAATGTGCTTCTGGGAGGATACTCCACAATAAGAGCACAGCGGCGATAGTACACCTCTCTCTTCGAGACGGGATCTAGAAACTAGCCAATCTGGTGTTGGCAGGCAGCGGTAAATGATTTGCCATTGTGCTCTCTGAGAGGGAGGCATGAGGTGCGTAAAGTGGGAACTTTTGAGGTCTCCATCTTTAAGGATGGAATCTCGCTGCCACCGGTCCTTTATTCTTTGGGTGGTGTTCACCGTCTTATGAGTCTTTCTGTAGCAGTCTTTAACTGTATACTTCCAGATTGGTAGCGGTTTGTTGCCTCCCCATTGCCATTCAATCGGGTCAAACGACAGTGAGCAGATGGGGGTTGTGGACTCATATGCCCACCACCCGTCAGCCTCATCCCCTACCACCCTAACTCGCATCAAATATGACTCCGTTTTCTGTTTGTCCAGGTCCTCATTTCTCGTTAGTTTGAATAGCCTGGCACCCGGGAGTGTCGGTTTGTAGGCGTGCAGTTGCACACAGTTTGGAGAGCAGTTCCGGACTTGGTATAGCAGCATTGGGATGGGGAGGGAGGCCTGTTCTCATGTACTGACGCACCCCTTTATGAATTTCATGCTTCTCCAAGCCCTTGCCGTCCGCTGAACACCCCGGAGACCCTCCGCGCCATGCGCGGCGCACAGTTCAGAATACGAGGAATTTTTTTTTTTCCTCATTTTTTTCAAAAGGGCGATGACCGCCCCAGGCAACTCAGAAATATTTGTTTTTTCTCATCAAGTTCCATCATCTAGGTTTGAACACAGGTCTGTATTTGAACAGTTCAATGGTGTACCCACTGAAATAGGCTCTTGGGTGAATACGGGGATTGTACTCCCGTGCTTTCATCGGAGTTCGAACTCAGGTCTGTGTTTCAACAGTCCAAGGGTGTACCAACTGAGCTTGGCCAATCGGTTCCGCCCTTATTTTCGCCGATCGGATTCAGCGGAGTTAGAAGCGAAGCGTGGGGCGAGTGTGTGCGGGTGCACCACCAACCTCGGAACGGGATTGGGCTTTGGCGGGTGATGCAGGGAGTCTCCCGCGCTTTTTCGCGCTTGTGCTGCTCCCGCGCTTTTGTTTCGTTTTTGCTCGTGTGTTTGCTGTCGTCGTTTGGGCCCGCTTCCGAACTCGATTTATCATCTGGGTGTTACGACTGCACATCTTGCTAAAATAGGTTTGGGGTTAGGTTTGGGAGAGGGAGTGACACCTCTCTCTGTCTCATCTGTGTCTCTCTCTCTTGTCTATGCGCCAGTGTTTGCAGTAGAGTATCCTGTTGGATAGGGGAGGGGGTGAATCGCCGAGGTCGCTCGTAGGTGGTCTTGAGTCCAGGGTTGGGATTAGGTCTGGGATCGGGATTGACACCTCTTTCTCTTTCTCTTCTCCTGTCTCTCTTTCTCGTCTCTCTCTCTCTCTCTCTCTCTCCTCTTTGCGCCAGTGCTTGGAGTGAAGATCTTGATCGGGAGGTAAAGGTGATTGATTGATTGATTGATTGATTGATCGATTGATTGATTGGTTGGTTGATTGAATGGAGTGCTTGTTTGGCGTTGTTGGCGATGGATTCGTCCTATTGGTTGCTGACACGTCAGCAGTCAGATCGATCGTTGTGCAGAAGACTGATGAGGATAAGATCCTGAATCTGGATAGTCACCGACTACTGGGAACGAGTGGCGAGCCCGGTGATAGGGTGTACTTTTCGGAGTACATTCAGAAGAACATTCACCTCTACAGGTTTCGAAATGGCATCCAGCTGTCAACTGCCGCTGCGGCAAATTTCGCGAGGGGTGAGCTTGCGAGGGCGCTGAGGAAGAACCCTTATCACGCGAACATGCTGTTTGCCGGCTACGACGAAGACGTGGGTCCGTCCCTGTTCTACCTTGATTACATCGCTACTCTTCATAAGATTCAAAAGGGCGCGATGGGCTATGGTGGCTACTTCATTCTGTCGTTGATGGACAAGTATTACAAGCCGGACATGTCGCTGGATGATGCTCTGAAGCTGGTGGACATGTGCATTGACGAGATCCGCAAGAGGTTGGTCGTAGCTCCTCCCAACTTCATCATCAAGATCATCGACAAGGATGGCGCACGAACGCACTCATGGAGAAAGTCAGTTGTTGAAACGTGAGAGACAGATCTCACCTCAACACACGTGTGTGTGTGTGTGTGTGTGTGTGTGTGTGTGAGAGAGAGAGAGAGAGAGAGAGAGAGAGAGAGAGAGAGAGAGAGAGAGAGCACTCATGGAGAAAGGCAGTGGTTGATAGCTGAGAAGCAGCAGCCGGGTTGACGGTTGGGATCGGGAGGTTGACGGACCACCACATGAGAGCAAAGTCACAATCGGAAGCCACGTGGCGCGTATTATCTGCGTTTTCATTCTTAAGGAGAGTCCTATCCGACTTCCCGACTTCTTTCTAATCTGTGACACGTTGAGTGGCAGTATATGTGACACGTGGAATAGAGTACGTGATAAGTGGAACAGAGTACGTGACACGTGGTTTTTAAGGTGGAGGTGAATCGAACACGTTGCATGACAAAGGGAAATGGTCAGGAAGCGTGACAAGTGGACCGTGATGTAGATATGGTGCTCGACTGACGCGTAGGCTGAACAGACTGTGTGCGTGACACGTGGAGTGTGAAGTGGTCATTGCGAAGTTGATTGATCTGCTTTGTACGTGTACTTGCAATGCAGTGGACAGAATGCATGACGCGTGGGCTGCTGCGTGACACGTGGAATGGATGACCCTGTGTCACGTGGAGCGTTCATAAAGAACACTCTGGGTAATTGACCTTTCGAGATATCGGCAATCACGCGAGAAGAGAAGCAGCGGCCGCGGGTAGAAGCTCGGGATCGGGATGTTGACGAATGGGATTGGGATGGGTGTAGCGTGGGCAAACCTTGTGTGAGTGTTGTCGGGATCGGGATGTCGAGGAGTGGCATGCGTTCAGCGCAGCACAGAGCAGCAGATGTCTGATGCTTGTGGTTTTGTGCAAGCCCATGTCGTTGTCGTTTTTCTGCAAGTCCATGTCGTGGTCCACGAAGAAAAAAGTAGGGAAAGAGGAGGGAAAAAAGAAGTAGGGAAAAAAAAAGGAGGGAAAAAGAGGGAAAAGGAGGAGGGACTTGCCCTAACTGCTGCCTGCTTAACTGCGCAGACAGAGCGTTGTGTCTAGCAGAGTTGTCGGGACTCCGTGCAGTTTTGCTTCGAGAGCTCTGGAGGTGGGAAGACGAGGGAAAAGGAGGAGAAAGGAGGGAAAAAGAGGGAGGAGGAGGAGGAAGGAGGGGAAAAGCAGGGAAGGAGGAGAAAGGAGGGAAAAGGAGGGAGGGATAAATCATACAGTGTGCAAGACTTTGTGAGTTAATTGGTAGTTAATTGATTGGGTATGAAGCACATGTTGATGGATGTATCTTGTTAAAGAAAATGGAAAGCTGGTGGTGCCAGCCTGTCACATTTTGTCGTTTCTTTCTTCCTCTACGTGGAATGCCTTGACGCCAGGCCGCGCGCGCACGGATGGTAAGTGAAGATTATATCTGTATCAGAACTCAGATCACCTTTTCAAAGAAAAAAAAAGTAGCATATAAAAAGAGGAAAAAGAGCTTCGGTCATGTATAAAAAGGGAAAAAGAACTCCAGAGATCAGCCAAGGGAACGGGTTAAAAAAAAAAAAAAAAAAAAGAATAGCTGGTTTCAGTTCACAGACATGCGTCAAACCAAATCTGGGTAATGGTCCCGCTATTGTGTTCTCCGGGTTGAATAGTGGGGTCCCTGGTCGCGATGATTTTTGGAATGAGTTCTTACCTTGTAAGAAAAAAGGAAGAAAAAAAAGAAAAAAGAAAAGGAAAAAGAAAAGAAAAAAGAAAAGAAAAAAGCAAAGAAAAAAGAAAAGAATGAAAATGAAAGAAATAACAAGAACGTTGATTATGTCCAAAGAACGCTCTGATGGCAAAGAAAGAAAAATAAGAAGAGGAAAATTCCGATTACGTCGAAGAAGGGGGAGAAAGAACGTCAAAGAAGGGGGAGAAAGAACTCCGAACTTTCATCGCAACTTCTCTTCTCATCCGTGTTCGAATAGTGATCACATCTGCTCTTCTTGCTGCTTTCCCTCTCTCTCTCTCTCTCTCTCTCTTTCTCTCTCTCTCTTTTGCCCCGTCTCGGCCACCTCTCCGTCTCTCCGCTGTCCGTCTCCCTTCTCTCTTCCTTGTCTCTTTCCGCTCGTCTTCTTTCACGCCCCTCTCCCTCTCACCCCCATCATTACCCTGGTCCCTCTCTTTCCCATTTTTGTCTCCTCTCTTTCGCCCCTGGTCCCTCTCTTTCCCATCATTGTCTCCTCTCTTTCGCCGCTTCTCCCAGCTGGTCCCGCTTGCTATTCGCGTCTTCCCGCTCTTTCCTTCTATCTCTCCCCTCTCCCCTCCCTCGCCTCTCCATTTCCTCTCCCTTCGCTTTCTCTCCCCCAACCCTCTTTTGGCCCCTGTTTCTCTCGTTTTCTCCGTCCCGTTGCCCTTCTTTCACCCTGTCGGTCTTCTCGTTCTCCCTCTTTTCCATCTTTCTCTCCCTATGTCTTCATCTGTCTCTCTCCCTCTCCTTCCCCCCTCT